ACTGAATTTACCTGGGTCCTGGAGCTTGCAACCGATATAAGCCTTCTTGCTGTGGTCGTTGGAGTCTAATTGAACGGGGTCGAGGTTTTCTATGGTCGACCCTGTGGCTTTGACTATGTCGGGATATTTGATGCCTTCCCCGACATCGTTATGCCCTGACCTCGACCTTGCTGATTGCTATGCCTCTTTTTCTTTGTTCTTCCTTTATTGGGAGACCGTACTGTCTAAAGCAATTCGGTAGCATTCCCGGGATGTGCGTTTCTCTCCTCGTATACTGAATATTCATCACCGTTGGGAATTTGATAACTTGGTATAAGCCGGAGGAGACGGCCTTCATGGGGTGTATCCACGGTCGCCCCACTATGGCGTTGTACGTGGTGTCTTGGTCCATGATGTGGAATATTATTTCCAGGGTTACGCCGCCGACCAAAACGGGGGAGTAATTTTCTTGGATGTCCGTTTAACTGCATTGTTAAAACCAATTAGTGTGATGCAGCGTGGCACTATCTTATCCTTGAGTCTCATTTGGGTAAGTACTCAGGGATGGATAATGCACGTGCCACTCCCGTAATCAATCATAATACGTTTAACATCAGTATCCAAATTTGCAGAGTAATAACGAGAGCTTCATGATAAGGAAAAACCAAACCGTCGTCATCCGACTTGTCGAAGATGATACTTTCTTCGAGTTCGTCGTACCGTTCGCGGGTGATGGATCACTTGAGTTTGTGTGTAGTGGTGAACTTCACGCTGTTGATAGAGGCGTCGTCTCCGATGATCATGTTAATGCTACGGGCTGGTGAGGGTGGTTTGGGTGGCCCTTGATGTTCGCGCCCTCTGGCAAAATTGGTTCTTCCCTTATCGCTTAGAAACTTTTTGAGATGTCCTTGACGTAGCATATTCATGACCTCCTGCCTTAGTATGATGCAGTCTTTCTTTTTGTGCCCTCGTTCCTGGTGGAACTCACAGAGGGCGTCGGATTTTATGATGTTAGGGTCTGATCTCATCTTTGGCGGTCACTTCACTTTTGGTCCGAGCTTCTCCAGGGCGTAGACTATATCTGTAGGTGACACACAAAAATTGTGAGCAGACTGTAGGGGGAATACCTCTATCATTCCGATGAGTTGCCGTCCTTGATCTGGACGGGCCTTCTTCATAGCGAGATGAGGGGGCATCGGTCGTCTTGATGTATGGTTGGTGTCGTTCCTTGTTAAGTCATAGGATTGGGTGATCTCTTATAGAGTTGTCTTTTCGATCCTTTCTTGACTCCGCTTGTACTAACGTTAGCCGATAGGTAGGCCCGTTAAGGTCGTTCTCATCTGCACGGATTTCGGCATAATAAGCATTGTGGATTTCGTCCCAAGTGGTTGGAGGGTACTTCATCAACCGACTTTACAGTTTTCTAGTTGCTCTTGAACCATCCCTGCTCAACCCGTTCTGAAAGGCTACGACCGTCATCCCTTTGGACACGTTTGGTAAAGTCATACTTACTCGGTTGAACCGGGCGAGGAAGTCCCTCAATCCCTCTCCTAGAGATTGTTTGACGGCAAATATGTCGTTCACTCTTGCCTGCCTTTTTGGCTCCGGCGTGGGCCGTTACGAACTTGTCAGTATTTCTTCAAAGGTTTTAATGGAGCGTGCTGGTAGCTGCGAATACCATGTTAATGATCCTCTAGTGAGGGTTTCACTTAACCTTTTCAACAAAATAGAAGACACTTGTTCCTTAGCGAGGTCGTTTCCTTTTACGGTGGTGACGCAATCAGTCACATGATCTTCGGGGTCGGTTGTGCCGCCATATATCCTGAGGTAGGGCGGCATTTTAAAGGTTTTTGGTATAGCATGTGGGGCTGTGTCATCACTGTATGGCTGTTCGACAAACCGCCCGACATCCCTCTTTGGCAATAGCTTGGGGGCACCCGATATTTTATCGATCCTCTCCTAGTGTTCTTTCATTTGATTTCGGAGTGCCTTGTTCTCATTCTCCATTTCCTCCATCCTTTTTAAAATGGCTGCGAGGGCGTTGTCACATGCACTATTAATGATATTGTGAGTAATACACGTCATTGGGTTGTTGGTTGCACTGCTCGTCTGTTGGTTGTATAGAGCAAGTCCTTGCGTAATCTGTAGACGTATCCCAGGCGGGCTTGTTGAGGACGCTGGTTAGCGTGTTAGTTAGCCATGCTTCGAGAAGCTTTTTTTTTACAGCTGGGGGCGTATCCTCCCCCACAGATGTGGAGGCTCCCTTACCAAGAGATTTTGTGATGCTGTAGTGATGAGGCGGCGACCCATCTCGCCTAGGGGAGGCACTGGGCGTTGCGTCTTCACCTGCTGTTTCACAGCTTTCGTTGATGATACTCATGAGGTTGGTTGGGAGGTCACTTATTATTCTCGTCCTTTCTTCTCGGTTAACTGTCATGTTGGGATTTGTGCATACAAAGAAATGAGATCTTGTTTTTGCTCTTTTTTTTTTTTTTTTTTTTTTTTTTGTTAGTGATCCGTATTAGTTATAGATCTAGAATAAACTAAAAGCTTAACTAAGAAATCCCCACAGACGGCGTCAAATTGTTTGACCAAAATATATAACTCTTGGTTCAAAAAATTAAATTTATGTGATAATGGGTTAAACCTAGTTAATAATAATATTTCTAGATGTGAATTCCGAAAATATGACTAGCGTCAAATAGATCTGGTGGAGGGATGACAACAGCGTATAATAACTATTCCAAAAAAGTAAGAGCAATAATGTAGCATTTAATAGCAATAAATATCAATAAATAGCATTTAAGTAAATAAGAGGAGTGATTCACCCAATAAAGGATGAACTAGATAGTTGTTCCTCCTGACAATGATGAGTGATAGACAAATCCTAGATTGTTCGAACTATTTTCGGATCTGATGGAAAAATATGAAATAATATAAATGAGAATCTTGATGAAAAGGTAGTGTTTGTATCTTAGTAATAGAGATAGAGAATCTTTTGTCACAAGTCTGTTCTTACAAAATGAATGTCACATGCCCCATATTATTGTCTCTTTTTCTATTTATATGAGATATTTTCCTAGTAAACCGTAATAGTACAAGTGAAGAGAATATCCACTCTAATATTCTCTTTAATATCCTATTTCGAAAACTAGTCGTTATAACTTCATCAACGGTGGTCCACCTCGATCATTGTTGACATCTCGACCACGAGTCTCGTTGCTTCCTGGTCGACCTCGACTGACGACGACTCGAGGAATCTTTCTTTAATGTTATCTTATCTTAAATATTCTAGGGCATATTTTGACCCCTACAATTGTGTGTCACCAAAACAACTTAATAGATCAAGAATCAACTATAATACAACAATGTTAATCACTAAAATGAGTATTCTATAAATTAAAGATAATTATTCGAAGGCAAATTTGTTGTAATACTAGTTTGAGTGGAAGTTACATGTATCGATGAGGTAAGAAGTATAAGACAATTAAGTCCTTACAAGGTTATTAGAGATAAATCTCAATGAAAATATTTAATTAATAACTTGATAAAAATAATAATTAATATATATCATAAGTTAAATTAGACTAATATTATAAAAAATTTCAGTGTCAATATACATAACGTAAATCAAATCAATTTTGCTTTATTGGATAGTCATAGCTCTATCATCTTTGTCTCATCAATTATTGAATATCTTTATGAGCTTTAAAGCCTAAAGTTTATTCATGATGGTTCTTTAACCTTTCGAAGTAAAACACGAGCACCATATGGTACTTCCTCCCGTACACGTTAATTGATTTCTTTTTGTCGTTTCACACATATTAAGGAATTCATCTTTTAATATTAATTAACAATGAATTGATCATAGTCCTTAATTTATTCATTAAAAATATAACAAATACTTTTAGACTCTTTACTCTAAGGGCTACTTTGAAAAAAAATTAATTCCTTCTTAATATTTAAAAAAATCAAATATTATAGACCACAAAAAGGCCAAAAAGTCAAATAAAGTGGACCGGAGGGAGTATATTACTAATCACTACTCCCTCCGATCCATTTTAGTTGTCTTGTTTCTCTTGTACATGTCTCTTAAGAAATTATTAATAAGAGGCATTTTTGACTACTATACCCTTATTTAATACTCTTTTTTTCTAAGTTTTTTATGTTGTGTAGTCAACATTTTTACTTTTAAGAACATTTAATACTAAGGGCAAAATGGAAAAAAGTACTCTCTCCGATCCGTTTTAAGTGATTTTTTTGGCTCTTTTCACGCATATTAAGGAATTTATCTTTTAACATTAATTAACAATGAAATTGACCATATTAGCCATAATTTGCTCATTGAAAATATAACAAACTACTCATAAGTTCTTTATTCCAAGGGCAATTTTAGAAAGAAGAAGTTAATTCCTTATTGATATATGAAAAAAATCAAATATCATGAATCACTAAAAAAGCCAAAAAATCACTTAAAGTGGACCGGAGGGAGTACTTAATTATACCAAACGACAACTATTTTGAACCAGATATATTTAGTAATCTGAAAAATTAATATGGACAGGAGGGAATAGTAGCATTAAAATAAAGTAGCCCACACTAATGACCAAATCAAACGGGAGCAGAAAATTAATCAAAGTGGGAAATACAGAACCCACACTTCACCAAAATTTTACCAAAACAACTTTAAATTACAAGTGCCTTGTACCATTGGCCATTTCACACCTAACCAATGATAGTAAAAATATCTCACATACATTATGTAGTCTAATAGATGGTGTTTTTTTTTTTTTTTTTTTTTTTTTTTTTATTCAGGTTTATTCTATGTTTTGAAAATTTATGCATTGCTACTGTGAAAAGATTACCTACAAAATGTCACCATTGGAATTTGATTTCTTTTTTTTTATGATGCCCCTCTTTTGGAACACCGAGCTTAGGCCTTTAGATATATAGCAGAGTACACATTAAAAAGGANGTTTCACCCCAAATAAAATAAAATAAAATAAAAACTTAAGAAACCCTGAAGAACTTGAAAAAGCTCACCTAAAAATTCAGTGTGTTTCAATTTATCGATAGTATTTATTCAGCTATGTCAACTTTAACGATGACATATTAGCTCGATTTTTTTGACGCCTTAAAATTAAAGTCGTCAACTTCTTAAGGAAAGGGCGCCCCATTTTCCTAACTCATATTTCGTACAGGAACTAAGTTTATTACTACTATAAACCATCTTCCTCAATCAATTGTAGTAATTAATGGGTGGGGAAAATGGAAGAGCAGAATTGAGATAACATCTTAGCCATATGAAACACAACGTTGCCACATCCATTTCCACCATTAGAGCTGCTGCTGCTCCTCCTCTTTTCTAATTGCAATTTGGCACGTATTTTGGTTTCACGTGAAGATTTCTGCATTTTCAAGAAACCAAGATTAAATAAGTAAGAAAAATCAACACATGGACCTACAAGGGTCAATGATGGAGTAGTAAGTACTCATTCATTCAGGTCTTGAATTCGAGTCTTGGATATGAAGTCGTCTTTGTTACAGAACACTTTACCCTAATATGAAATTTTTCGATGCGAATTCGAATTTAATCGAACCCTAATACATATACTAGACACTGGGTGGGAACAAAAAAACTCATGGTAATTACTTATTCCAAAAGGGTGATCTATAGTCAAAGTACATTTGGTCAAATTTGCAAATTCCAACATTGAGAAATTTAAAATACAACCACTAAACAAGATATTTTCTGAATAAAATGCACTTGAAACAATGAGCTGTATGATACGATCATTAAAACATATCAACAGTCATTAAATGCCGTGGATACTTGATACCGATGTTAGTTCTTGTTTTTATTTTTTTATTTTTTTATTTTTGGGTTTTTGTGTAGAAAATAATTTTAATTTTTAGCGAATCTCTATTGAAAATAACCTTTTTACCCTCATAAATTAGGGATAAGGTTTACGTACACACTATCCTCCCTAGATCTTATTTGTGGATTTTACTGGGTTGTTGCATTGAAAATAATAGGTTCAACTTTTAATACTTTTAGCATTGAACTTATTGTACTGTAAAAATTATAGATTCAGATCTATTACTTTTTAAAATTTTAATAAGTTTCTACTTTTTACGTATAAATTCATATTTTATGTTAAAAATTATGAATTCAATTAAACCCGTAGTCTTTCTACCAATGTATAAAACATTAACTCAAATACCCTTAACGCTAGGTTTGGATATATAGAATAACTCTGATATCATGGAAAAAAAGCTGAAATTTAAAGCAATTCTAAAAACTAACTCATGAGATAACGATCACCAAGATCTAATAGCTCATTCCTTCAACTGATATAGATAGAATATTCTAACATCTTTGGCAACATTCATTATTGCAATCTAACCCTAAATGTTAAATGGAAACAAAATTATATCGTAAATCGATTTTCTCTCTCCAGTGCTCTTAGTTCCAACAAAACTCACTAATTAATTTGAAATGTTTCTCTAAAAAAAATAATGGCTGGTAGAGAATGTATGTTACGTGAAAAAAAAAGGTGAAATCACACTCTTGTCCAGCTAAAAGTCAATATATAGACTCAATGATATGTATTTCATTTTCTAAAGGGTCAAATTTATAACTTAGTTTATCAATTCACTTCCAAAATAAAATTAAGAATATCAAAAATTCAAAAAAATGCAGATCATATGCACTTTTAGAAATATAAAAAATATATTTGCCCTATTATTTATTCAAAATTAAAATCTTCTGACACTTTAAAGACCCCACAAGAAAAAGGAAGTACAGTAATTAACTAGATAAGATAACAATATTGCATATTCAGTCATTTATTTTTTAAATTCGATTAGGGACCTTAGAGTAACAGTAAAATTGTTTCAGTGTGACCTATAAGTTACGGTTTCGAATCGTTGAACCAACCATTAATGTTTGCATTAGTGTAAGCTGTCTATGTCACAATCCTTGAGGTGCGTCCTTTTCCTGGATCTTGCGTGAAAGTTCACATGCCTTGGCTGCCCTTTTTTATCTTTTAAATTCCAATCAATTAATTTCTGAATTTAGTTTTCCACTGGAAATTAAAATCTAATTAATTTACTCTATATACAAGAATTCCAAAAAAGCAAAAATAATTTTAGCTAGAGGAAAATGGACTTACAGATTCTTGAGGAGGTTCAGCAAGAAGAGAAACTCTAACAATAGAACCATCTCTTAAATTATAAAAAGATAAAGGCTGATCACTTTTCATTTTAATTGATTTGTAATAAAGAGCCAAATAATCATCTCCCCATGCTTTTTTAATCACTTTTTCCAAATCTTTTACTTTATCTGCTTGTTTCACCTCTGCATACATCTCCGACGTCGGCGACTTCACGTTTATCGTCAGTTTTCCTTCTCCGGTCGCCGGAATTTTCACCTGCAAAGATGGAGCTGAAGAGGAAGAAGAAGAAGAAACCATTTGCTTTTTTTTTTCCTTCTAATTTTCTGATCAAGTTTTTTGTGTCTTCTTTATGTTATGTTACCTAACTTACCTCTCCTTTAATAAATACAAGGCCTCTTCTAAATTAGTGTAAGTACTTTATTGTTCATATATTTATTACTGTGCTATCTTTGGTCCCAAATATTAGTAATTTAGGCCTTAGGGGAGCCGGGCGTTGACCCTACCTTATAAGTAATCGGATTATAACATCTTGGGTGAAATTAATATGTTTTAAAATAATTAACGTTATAGAAAAATTACAATATTAATATACACAGTGTAGTCTCACATAATCGGGTCTGAAATTTATAGAAAAATTATTTATCACTGTTTTCTTCTTTGAAATTTATCGTTGTAGTGACATTAGTATAGTATTAATTAATTAAGATGCTTAAGAATAATTTAAATAAATACTTTTATTATTAAATATTAAATGGTTTTCGCAATGAACAGCAAAAACCTTTAAGAAATACTCTATCCGGTCTACTTTAGGTGATTTTTTGGGCTCTTTTCATACATATTAAAAAATTCATCTTTTAGCATTAATTAACAAATAAAATTGACCATATTAATCTTAATTTGCTCCTTGAAAATATAACAAACTATTATTAGGATCTTTAGTTTTACTCAAAGGGCAACTTTGAAAAGAAGAATCTAATTCCTTTTTGATATCTGAAAAATAAATATTGTGAACCATAAAAATAAAGTAAAAAAATCACATACAGTGGACCGAAAAAAATATATAATATTGATAGGCAATAATATTATTTATTTGAAATATCTTTGTTATTTTCCTATAAAAAACAAATAGTCTTAAAGATTGTGTGAGTTAGGTCACTGGGGTAGTTGACTTTCTTCCATGTGTAACATGGTGGAATTAAAAAAGGCAAATAGTAAGGACCCCTTTACTTGGTGCAGAAATCAAGAATTAGAAAAAGCAAGGAAAAAACAAAGAAAAGAAGATTGCAATTTATGATAATCCCTAGTCTTAAGTATACTTGTTAATCGGGCCGGCCCAGCTCAATAACAGCCCGATACGCTAGGGGGTGGGATGGGTTGGGTGAGGGTTGGGGGAGTGGGGGAGAGTCGGGCTTGAACGAACATTTTTTGCTAACCGGTGCCCCGGAACCCGGTTAGCCCGGTTACCCTTTACCGGGTTTTTTTCAGCCCGGTTACCATCGTCAATTTTTTTTTTTTTAATGTTTTGACCGTTGGCAACGGTCAAATTCAAAAATGATCGTTGGGCAGCGGGGCCTTTTTTTACAAAAATGGCCATTTCGGTCTACCGCCTTAAGAAAATAGTTCCCCCACCCCTAATAATTAAAATTTATAATTTTAACCTTTTAAAAATTATAAATAGCCCCCCTTCTTCTTTATTTTTTTCTCACAATTTGCTCTCTTACTACTCTAATTCTCTCTCAATTCTCTCTTGATAATATTGCTTATTGCTCTTAAATTCTCAATTACTTATTATTTCAAGTTTCATCAAATATTTACTTTAGTCACTAGAAAATTATAATTATCAAAATATCAAGTATTCAAGTGAAGTGTGGTATCAATATTCAATATCATCAAATATCAAGTATCAGTCTATCAACTGAAGTTTGATATCAAATTTAGTGCGGCATCCGAAATCCCGGTACACTCGTTCCATCTCCTTTTCTTCTTTGGTGTATATTTTTATTTTATTATTTAGAATTATTAATTTAATTTACATAATGGATATATTTAGAGCAACCAAAAAAGTGTGTACCAGTAGGGGTGGTAGTAGTAAGAGTAAAACTTCTAAAAAATCAAGAGGTGGTGCTGGTTCTTCTAGTATCTTTACACATATTTCTGAAAGTTCACATGAAAATTTAAATATAAATTATGAGCAACTTCAAGAAAATTATGGTATAGATAATAATTTAGATGATATTCAATCACCTGATATCATTTGATAATGCTTCTAACAACAATGCTGATATTATAATATTAAAATTATATCTACACCTACCACTTCCTGAAATATTTCATGTTAGGTGTGTATCTCATAATTATAATTTAATTGTAAAGAGTGGCCTTGAATTATTGAGAGATGAGATTACTTTAGTTAGAAGAGTTGATGGTGTAATTCAAGGAAATAATAGAAGTGCTAGATTAAATGCATTTAAGGAAAAATGTGTACAATATGGATTAAAACCAAAACTTATGCCTGGAGAAATAATTACTAGGTGGAATTATACTTATTTATTCTTAAGATGTTGTCATAAATATAAAATGTCTATAACTGAAGTTGCTAATTCTCATTGTACCGATCCTAACCGTTTGTTAACGTCTAGAACTTGGGATGTCATTGAAGATGTTGTAAAAATTTTACAAAAAATTTATGTGGCTACACTTGAGTTTTCTGGAGCTTATTATCCTACTATTGCAAATGGTTTAGTTCATATTGCTGAAATTTCTCTTTTATCCATTATTTGAAGAAGAAAGAAGGATATTCTTCTATTGTTGATTCTATGCTAGATAAATTTAAGAAATATTTCTACCCAATTCTCCCTATTTACCTAATTGGTGTTATTTTAAACCCTTCTATCAAAATGACCACTTGTCGCCAATTAATCACTGCTTTATATGCTTATATGGATATTGGATCAACTGAAATCCCTAATGTTGAAACTTGTATTTCTGATCTACACAAACATTTACAAACTTTATATAATTATTATGCTAACATTGTTGATGCTTCTGCTGTTGTAGATGTAAATATTCCTTCAAGTTCAGTTTCAACATCTGCATCCGGTGTTTTGGAGAATAGTGATGATGTTGAAAATTATTTGATTTGGTATACACTAAGAGAGCATCAACAAACCCGTAGCAGGAACATTGATGAACTCCAATTCTACTTGCAAAAGTCACTAGAGCCCCGCACAAAGGAATTTCTACCGCTGGGTTAATGGAGGAGCAACTCAAATCAATTTCCTGTTCTTTCGGCCATGGCTTGAGACATGCTAAATGTGCCGATCTCAACAGTCACATCAGAGAGTGCATTTAGCCGAGCAAGGCAGCAACTAGGAGATACTCGTCATTCATTGGGCAGCAAACGCTTTGAAAATTCTAATGTGCTTCAGAGATTGGATAAGATCAGAGCGGCGAAATCAAGGGCGTGAAGATGTAGATGAAGCGGATGACCAAAAAATTGGAGATATAATGGTTTATGGTTCAGTTTCAAGCAATGCCGGAAACCAAGAATCTCATGTTGACATGGATGAACTCACAAAAATAATGCAAAGCATGTGATGTACTCTTTCTTATTTTTTATAATTATTGTAAACTTTTAATTTGCAAGTTCAAAAATAAAAAAATCAAAATAGAACTTGCAAATTAATTTGAAGTATTATTTATTATTCAATGAAAATATAAAACAAAAGCCTTCGGAGTTTGATCCGTACATATTGCCTATCGGTCTTATTAAATAATTTTTTGTAGCCACTCACTTTCAAATTTTAATTTTAAAATTTTAAAATTCAAATTTCAAATTTAAAACTTTAAACTTAAAAGTTTGCAAACACTTAAGTATCAGTAAAATTGAATAAGAAAAAAAAAATATACAAAAAAAAAGTAACCCGACCCGGTCCGGACCCGTTAAGCCCGAACCCGGATGAGCTCTAATTAGACCGGAATTTCCCAGCCCGGTACCAGCCCGTTTATCTAGCCCACTACCAGCCCGGAATAATAATCGGATGGGCTATTTTTTTTCGTGTCCAGTCCGGACCAACCTGTCCGGTTAACACCTATAGTCCTAAGTCACGTGACTTTTTTTTTTATTATCTTTTTAAAAAAGAATAATAACTTTTTATTTTTAAATTTCTCAATTTAGTTTTAATGAGATATTTTATAATCACATAAATTTTTAAACTTATATTAGATCATAATTTTAAAAGTTTTTTTCTTTTTTAAATTTCCTGTCAATGTTAAATAGTGTCATATAGATTGAGACGGATTAACCAAAATTTTGTTTATTTATAAGGCAGAAATTTCTCCAAATCTACCAAAAAATATAATAGCCAATAGGTACATCCGTGGTACTGGAGATGAGGAGGGACCATAGTTCCTGCGATATCGGTCATTGGTTATCCTTTTCACCAAAAGTTTCTGGATTTCTCTCATCCTTTTGTAATACAGTAGTTAGGGTTGTCAAATTTGGCACAAGTCCAAATGACCCGTCCAACCCGTTTATGGTTAGGCTGGTTATTAATCCACTAATTTATTAAACCTAACCCATCTTGTTTCGACCCATCTTAAAATATCTTAGATTTTTTTTTAATTTGATAGTAGTATATGACCATAAAAAAAAAAGAAAAATAAATCTTATTTAGTAATTATACAATTCAAAAGAAAACAACACATATTAAGTAAAGTTTGGTAAAAGTTGGGCGGGTTGGGTTATAACTCAAATTTTAGTCTATTTTGACCCGACCCATCTTAGATCAAGTAATTTTTGGGTGGGTCAAATGACCCGCCCAATTATTAACTCAACCCATTTTGACCCGCCCAAAATCGGCTCCATTTGACACCCCTAACAGTAGTATATACTTTTGCAGTAAGTAATAGATTTGCAAGAGGGCAAAGTTCCAGGAAAAAATATTTACAGTGTATTCATATAATTCTTTTAGCAAAAGAAAGGAAAAAGTGTGATGCAATTATTTTTTTTAAGAGTAAATTTCATTAAACACCTTTAATCTTTAATGGTTGAAAAATAATTTTTTGAATGGAACAGATAATCCCTTTGAGCAGCATATTTTGGTGAGCTATAAAATTTTAATACAAGGAACAAGTATTGTTGTCCTTTTCTTTCGGTCAATGTACTGAAGTATTACTTAGATTTGGCACTATACTTCACACTAAAGGTAATTAACTCAAAGTTTAACTACATTGTGCATAATAGTAAGGAGCTAACCAAAATAAGACATAGTGAATTAGCTGGACAAAATAGACTGCTTTCTTTTAAACTCGTGATGCTTAATTTTGGCAAATTTTGAATCATGAATTGAACTCCTGACCTCATGTGGAACAATCGTTAAAATAGCACGGGTTAAC